TTTTGGAGGGGGAAGGCTAGTTGATAAATACTATTTAAAAAGTAAAATTGTAAAGTGTTTGACTGGGCTGCTAGTAAACATTCCTCTCCTTATGAGAACACCTTTCATACTGAATCATAAGAATAACTAATCTGGAATTCTAATATACATATAGTCTAATTCTGACTTCATATGCTGTTGTGAATCCAGAGTGATTCTGATGAAGACAGTGTTGTATCAGCATAAAGTGAAACCAGAATTTCTCAAAGAGCAGAGCACCTGTAGGTTTGGTCAGTGTATGCAGGTAGAAAACTTCTATAGCCAGTTTCCAGTTGGCTTCTCTTCATTAACACAGATGTAAAAAAATAAAACTAAACAGAAAAAAACCCCAAAACTAACACCAGCTGCAGGGGTGGTGAGCTACACATCATTTTGGACAGATAGAGCCTCACCTAAACTGAGACAACTTTTAGCACAAAATAAAAAGATACAAATTCATTATTTGTATGAAACATGTATTGCAAAATTAAACTGGGATTCAACAATCTGCAACAACATCCACAGCTATATAGTATTTAAAAAAAAACACAAGTGTGGTTCTTCCATTCAAGTAAAACTAAAACAAGAGGAAAAGGCTTAAAAAAGAAAATCTCAGAAGCAGCAAGTTACAATTCTTTCTGTAATACCACACCATTTTCATTAACTTGAAGCATTTTCAAGATGTCAAAGACATCAACAAAATAGTAATTTCAAGTGGCTTTGCTAATATTTGTTTTTTTGAATGGGTCCAGCCCAAGTCTACAACCTGTGCAGACGTGCAAAACAGGAGGAATTCATAATTACTATTGAGAACAGATGCTAGAACATGTCAGTTATAGAATGACAAAGCAAAGAAAATACCTTCAAATTGTCAACAAATGTGGGCTCCTGACCACTGAAGGGCATTTAATATTTTACATAAAAAGGAAAGTTGGCATAAAACCCCACAAACAACTTGCCAAACCACCACCAGCAGGGTCATCACATACAAAGTTCTTACAAACTTGGTAATTTCTACATTGTCCTTAATATGCAGGCTCATATCTTCTCCAGAAGATGCCAAAGCACTTACAATTTTGGTTTTATTTAAATGCCTTTTTTAAAATTTTAAAACTTATACTGAAAATGTTTCACTTCTGAAAAAACCTACTAATGCACCCTTTCAGAACAGAGAAGCATGCGTATATAAAGTCAGTACAGGTGCTTTTTCTGCTACCTTTAAGAAAGCAAAGAATGTAATTCTAAGTAAAACTAAGCAGCAGCAGCCTGTTCTGTCATTAAATCAAACGCAGTTTCACAGTTGAAAAAGTTACTAGCTTTAAATTTGTGTTTCAATAAAACTCCATTTCCTAATGCTTTGTGACAAAGCACATGGCCCACTCCTGGGATCCTTGCTCTGGCAGTCTTACAATGAAGTGCTGCAGGAGCAAGGTGTTCAGATTCAATTCAATCTCAAAATGAGCTACTTTAGTGTTTTGTGCAGCTGATTCTCAGAGCAAAGGGAACATTTTGAAATCTCCAAGAGGTGAGAATAGATAAAAATAAGCCAAATTCCAAGCTATCTCTGTAAAAATCTAGAGCTCAGTTGCAGGTGCTTTCATGGTCTGTAAGCAGATCTTATTTCTGATACTGTGAGCAGATGACATCCTCTCATTTACAGCAGTGTAAGGAAACAGAACCTCCACTACCTGCAGTGAAGTTACACCAGCACAGAACGGGCGTAACAGGATACGGCAATTAGGGTTGAACACTTTGAAGCTGAGAAAAGGATTTGTTTTTTTCCTGAAACACCAGCAGAATATTTTTCAAATGCCCATCCTGGTTATGGTAAGAACTGCTTAAAGCCCATGAGTTTCTCCTACTTTTTAAAAAAATTTTATTTAAAATTTTTGTAATGATCCTGAATTGTATTATGTCTGCATCCCTATGAAGTTTCCTTTCTTTTACTATTTAATTCTCATAATAACTTCTACAGCTTATGCACAACATTTCATTGCAGTAACTTTTGGAAACAGAGCCTGATTCCTCATACCTCTGTCTGGGCAAAAAGGGTGCAGAACACTGTGTGCTTGAATTGAAAGACATTTATACTCATATTTACAAAAGTAAAGGGCTAGGAAGGGGCTAAGTACAAAGAAAGTTGGGCTCATAACATCTGATAAATTTTGAGTTGATCTTTTCATCCAGGCTGGAAAAAGCTGACCATCTCTTAGATAAACGAGGTAAAGCATTGTTTCAACACCAGATAAATAAGGATAATATAGCACCTAATGTGACGTTTGTGCAACAGGTTTACTCAGTTAAAATAAGAGAGACAGCCAACAGGGTTTCAGATTTTGTGAACTAAACTTAAACTGAAACTAAACCATGTTTCAAGAGCTAAACAATTAGTGTGTGTTGACTGCAAAGTAATAGATAAAAGGGTAACTTTGCTCTAGAAAGTACAACCAAGGTTAGCAGGAGTTAAAATATTCATATGAACAAAAAGGAATATGTAACAGTCAATAAAAAGAGTAATGGGAAGTCTATTGGACTACTCCAAAATATTTAGTAGAACTAAGGAAATAAAACTTCACATTTCCCATACTATTCTTGGAGCTTCTGTAGTGTTCACAAACCCAGGTTTTCCCCCAAACATCAAGAGTCCTTGTGTGCAGTAATAGACTGCAGGATCCTGACTATGAAAGTGTCTTGAAACACCAAAGCCTTGGCTTTACAATCCCCAAAGTCTTTCATAATGTAATTGATTGCACATTTTTAATATATTACAATTTGCCTAATGAAGCCAACCACTCATTACCTCATCAGTACAGCCTGCACAATGTACAGTTTATTATATACTTATATTCTAATCTAACACCAACTGTCAGCATATTTTATATTACACGTGGTATTGCACTTTCTGAGTGGCACCTCGGTGCGTGTTTGCAAGCGAACAAGCTGAACCCCCGAAAGCCCCAAACCTTTGGAATTCACTCCAAGTGCTGCCAATCTAGCAAGTTTAAAATGTTAGGGTGAACATCACCCACAGAATCACGGGCTTCACTAATTAGAAAAACCTCTTTAATAATTAGAAAAACAGTCCTATCTGAAGTTGTGCATAAGGGCAATCTGAAATCCTCGGTACTCTGAACAGTTTCAAAAAGTGGTGCCAATTTCATTAATTGCACACGTAATTGTGTTAAAGGACAACAACTAGATTTACAAATATATATTACACACAGGCACAAAACAGACAAAGCTATAAAATGTTTGGTAACTCCACATGCTTTGAGCTAGCCAACATATCTGCTGCATGTTGAACTGCTTGTTATAGATCATATTGAAAATCTAAATTGCTATTTCTGATGTATCTTACTGGATTCAACAACCACTTCCAAAGGAGGAAGAAAGAGGAGAAATGGTAGACCCAAAAATGGAGGGTTTAAATGTACTTTCTTTGAATAGCCAGCATATCACTTCCATAATGTGAAGAGTGATTCCCCAAATTTTTTTAAGAGACTTAGGCCAAGTTTACCTCTGGCATTAGTGGGTGTATCCCCCACTACTTCACTGGTACTTGTGTCCTCTTTCACTAGGGCTGAATTTGGTCCCAGGAGTATATCTGGTAACCTTAAGTGACATTAATGAAAATGGGAGTCTTGGACAGATAGAACTGGGCTGCAAAATTAAAAGAGTGAATATGGGACAAATCATGTAAATAAAGAATATATATTAATAATAGTTCCTATTATATAAATAGCCTTTATAAAAAAATAATCTTTCAATAATTTTAATAACTCACCTTTCTTTAGGTTCTGGAAAACATGTATGAAAAAAATCTATTCAGTTCAAGTTAGATTAAAGCAAACCTAAGATGAACACTACAGCTCTCTGTTGCACTAAACCCAATTCTGACCATTCGATTTCCAGGTTAGTCAGTTTTTGGGGATGATAGGGAGTTTCTTTGTGAAGGTATGAATTGCACCCCTAGAAATACTGAGCAGAAGAAACACCATACTGAGTGGGCCTATTTCCTACTGCTTTCAGAAACTGTGCAGATGACGGACCCAGAAATCAAAGGGTCACCTGAACCCCACAAATGTTAATGCCTCCAAGCACATTTAAAAGGCACTGTCCTCTCACTACTGTATGTAGATCTTTGAGCTTAAAACTCCTTCTCATCAAACTATGCTGCATTTAAGCATTTGCTACCACTTGAATTCTATTTCCACTCTTCTTGATCTAGCATAGTCTCTACCTGCTGTACCAGATCTAAGATAATAAGTGATGGACTCTTATGTTCATGCTAGAACTATTTTCTTTTTCCTTCTAATTTATCCTGTCAAATGAAAAAAGGAAACATTCTTCCAAGTTTACCTTTTTGGGCTTAAGGCATAACATGAATCATAAAATCACACAATATGCTGAGCTGGAAGGGACCCACAAGGATCATCAATTCCAACTCCTGGCTCTGCACAGGACACTCCAAGAGTCACACCATGTGCCTGAGAATGTTGTCCAAATGCTTCTTGAACTCTGGCAGGCTTGGTGCTGTGACCACTTCCCTGGGGAGCCTGTTCCAGTGCCCAACCACTCTCTGTATAAAAAACCTTTTCCTGATATCCAACCTAAACCTCCCCTGATTCAGCTTCATGCCGTTTCCTCGAGTCCTGTCACTGGTCACCACAGAGCAGAGATCAGTGCCTGTCCCTCCTCTCCCCCTCACGAGGAAGTTGTAACTGCAATGAGGTCTCCCCTCAGTCTCCTCCAGGCTGAACAAACCAAGTGACCTCATCCGCTCCTCACAAGGCTCCCCCTCCAGACCCTTTACCATCTTCATGGCCCTCCTTTGGACGCTCTCCAACAGCTTAATGTCTTTTTTATATTGTGGTGCTCCAAACTGCACACAGAACTCAAGGTGAGGCCGCCCCAGTGCAGAGCAGAGCAGGACAATCACCTCCCTCACTCGGCTGGCGATGCTTTGCCTGATGCCCCCCAGGACACGGTTGGCCCTCCTGGCTGCCAGGGCACTGCTGACTCATATTCAACCTGCCAGGGACCAGGACTCCCAGGTCCCTTTCCACAGCTACTCTTCAGCCTCATTCCCCAGTCTTTACAGCCAGGGTTGCCCCATCCCAGGTGCGGAATCTGGCACTTGCCCTTGTTAAAATTCACACGGCTGGTGATTGCCCATCTCTCTAATTTGTCAAGGTCTCTCTGCACACATCATACTAAAGCTTAATTTTTGAAGTGTACAATTTTAGTGCTATCTGAAACCCTGTTTTACATTATTTTCTGACAGTTGTCTGAACAATTAATCTCTTTTCTTGCCATAAAATCTAGTGTTGTTCATGGTTTGTGCAATTCCTATGCAACCAGTCTTTGCTGCTAACGGGTATTAACAGTGCAGTACCCACAAAGCGGGGTATCAGTTCTTGCTTTCTCTGCTGTCTGTTCAGTTCAAAGCATGTTGCTTTATTGTGTGGAAGATCCAGTCCATTTTTGTTGTCCAGCCACCATGGTGAGCATCATTCATTTGCTTCATGAAGTACTCCAGAGCTTCCTGCTCAGTTTTGTCCAATGCAAGGGTCTTTCGAATGTAAGCAATGTCATCAAAGGACTGCAGTTCTGGCATTCCTGAGCCAAGCATCATGGAGAAAAGGTTGATGAAGAGATTGGCATGCTGCCGAATTGCTAGGTAAGCCTTATAGCACATCTCCTGAAACCTGGAAGAGACCAGGGGGAAAAAAGCTCAGTGTATTTCCCTACGAGGTGCACGTTACTTCTTCACCTCAAAACCAGTTTTCAGGTAACCAGACACTAAAAACTGGACACACTTAGTCTACTAAGAACACCATGATGTTGCTGAGAAGGTACACTCCTCTTCCTACTTAGTTTATCTTCATCTGTACATGAATTAGTAGTGGTCAGACAAACACAACAGCCAAACTAAAGTCAGGCTTTCTAGCCTTAAACCCCACGTGCAATTCATGCAACTGTTCAGCACAAATTTATGGGAGTTCACAGAGCTGTTTGAGCCATTGCTACTGACATTTCAGATTTTAAAACATGTTTCCAGATACACTGCTGCAAACAGTGCTTTCCTGGTTATCATCAGAGATGCACTTTTCCTGTAGTTTTACGAAGGCAGTAGCTTTTGCTCCTTAGATACTCTGAAGAATACACTGAAAACAGGGACATTTGCTGTATCACATTGGATGAAAAATACACGTTTATGCTGAAATCATTAACTTGAGTCAGGTTAAGGGGAAAAAGACTGGATCGCTGGAAAGAGATATTAAGAATGACTATAGCGACTATTATTATTATTATTATCATTATTATTATTTTAAAGTTCTCCTTTCTCAGCAGGTTTTGGACAATATCCCAAACTACAGAGGCCATCTGAAGAGCTGGTACCACAGCAGCTATAGAAGGGAGAAGTATGGCTGAGTGACCAGCAAGGCTCTGATGCACATAAAACCCAACATTTAAGAATTCTCAGTACTTGCAGTTTTGCAACACCAAGAGGATTTTAAATGTTAAGTCAAAGAAATTTCAGATGTTTAAAAAATGATCATCTTTAATCACATGTGTGCTGACCCTGCAAATCTCAGTGAGATTTCATGGACCAAAGGTCACGTAAGTGCTAAGATTACCTATTGATTTACAAGGGGGTGGCTGATCTTCAACTAAAGAATTGGAACATACCCACTTCAAGCCAAGTAAAATACTACTTTTCAGTTATAAGGTCTAATTATTAAATGTCACCATAGTAAAGTGCATTTTAGGTACAAAATACTCTGGAGTTTAAATGCTTAAAAGAAGGCTCACCTTTCAAACTCCCTTGTTTTGGTACATTCTTGGGCTCCTTTACTAATCACTATTAGGAAGTCTTGTGTTAAGACAAATGGCACACGCTCTCTTTTATAGCCAAATTTTTTCTTCTTGTGATCGAGGAAGTGCCCAAAGTCAATGTGAAACAGCTTGGAAAGACAGAAAGGTATTTTAAGATTAGTAATTCCGTGTTTAAATGAAGTCACAGTAAAATCGATCATTTACTTATAGTTCTGATAGAGTTTTTTTTTTGGTTTTTGAAAACAAACTCATATCGAAGTGAGGATGACCTTAGGGTATGGTTTTAGAAAAGCATATCTTACTTGTCCATCATCTTTGACCATGATGTTACTGTTGTGGCGATCACCAATGCCCAGGATAAAGGTGGCAACACAGTAGCCGGCACAAGAACGTGTAAACAAGTCAATAGCTGCATCATACCTATCCAAAACAGAAAAGGAGACACTTTCCTCAGGTATTCTAATAACACAGAAGTGCAAATTTTCCTTTCTCATTAAAAGAGCTACAAGCAGGAATACCGGGGAAACAAGGGCAGGTAAAAAAGAAAACAAAACCAAAACCAGATAGACATAATTATGGACATAAACTTCCCACTTGATGAACTTTAGTTCTCTTGAAACTTCCATCAAAAACAAGCACACGGACAAGAAAAACAGGCAACAGGAAATCTCACATGTCTCCTTTGTTCTTGTCCTTGAGCCACTGGTGCAATGTATGGCTGTTGAACTGCAGTGCTCCTTTTAAGCCTCCTTTACATTGAATCTGCATGATCGTGTGAGAGCTCCTCACGACCTCGATGAGTCCCACACAGTCACCAATTGATAAACAACCATAAGGCAACATCCTGAAAGACAAAGGTTAGTGCTTTGTTGGTTGTTTTTTTTTTCCTTTATAGATAATGGTGGCAAGAGGTGGGAGAGGGTGTATTTTTGCAGATTTCTGTGTCTGGCTACTCTTTAAGTCACAGGCAAGTGTAACTCTGCAAATCACTCTCGGACAAAGCCATAATTCTGTCACTCCTTACAGTACTGGAGACAAAACTGTGACCCACGAGAGATGATGCAGACCAATAGGTCCTTTTGTCTAGATAAGGAAATGAAAACTGGGGGTTCCTTGACAGTGCAGTGACAGCTGTTACATCCCCACTAAAAATCCACCATGCAGCAAACACAAATTTGGAACCACAACCTGTCTAGCATCAGTTTTCCAGAAGCAGAATAGTTTATACTGAATGCCCTGCAGAAGCTGTGTACTCACAGGCTGTCTAGTCATGGAGAAGCTGCACACAGATCACACTGGGCAATACCTACTGTGGGTACTGAAATGACAACCCCAATTACAAAGAGTCACTGCTCAAGAGGGCTGTGGGTTTGGCAACATGTTCAAAGCCAAACCTACAGACATAATCAGCTGACCACAGTGTGGCTACTGAGCATTAGCCCTTGTATCCATCCCTGGTACGTAAATCACTCCTACCCACTTGAATAAGACTTGAGTATTTCTCAAATATGATCCTAGGTTTAGAAAATCCAGTAGTTTAGTTAACTGAAGGTTATTTAAAAAATCAAATATTGCTCTAAAATGTACAAACATGCCTATTTATAGCATTTCATTTATTACCCTTGGGAAAACAGGAGCAATCTCTGGGAAAAAAACAATGCAAAATCCATTAAGAACAGTATTGCTTGGAAATGACTTCTAATGCTTACCGAAGGTCAAGACCCTGATTTTGCCAGATGTTTTCCATAATTCTAATTATCTGAAGTGTCAGCATGTCCTGACGCAAGTCTGAAATAGTCAAAGGTTGCAAATTTTGTAACACCAGAATACTTGGTTAGATCTTACTTTACTTTTCCCCCCCAAAAGTATGTCTAAATACATCTAAAGGTAATGAGGTTTGCACAGTTTAGGGTTTGTTCCCTCAATAGAGAAAAGCATGTTTTAAATAGTCAAAAATCAATATAAACTTGTGGTGGTGGTTTTTAAAAATATACACTAAAACCATGAAAATGGAATTATAGATTATAGATCTGTAGTATCTTGAAGACATCTTCAAGTAAAAAGAACAAACAGTACATAGTATTATGTTCCACCTCAACAGGTTGAACATCTTAGAACATAGAAAACTTGTACTTGATTGAGATAAATACTTATTTGTCCATGTTTAGTTTTTCTGGAAAAAAATGTCTTTGTTCAGCTGATTTTTAAAATTATTTTTTAATATATGTATTTTATATGCTTAGAAAAACCACTAAACAATAGGTTAGGAAAATAAACAGATATGTAGTGTTTGAATTACACTTATTTTTCCTTACCATCTCCATTTTTAAATATTATCTCATTGTTCTGAAATAACAATTCAGACATAATATCTGGGTTTTCCCAGTTCAACCACAGCGGCCTTTTTGCAGATGACATTATCCTGCACTCCTCAAGCCTAAAAGAGATAAGATATCTATGAAATAGGCACAATTTGATACTCATATCATGTTTCTGTAATACTGTATAGTTTTGTTCCCCCTGTTTTGGACAATATCTGAACTAGTACCAAATTAAAGATGCAGAGGTAACTGACAATCCATGATTTTTAATTTCAGACTCAGACTTAAATTAGTAAGTGCAATGTTAACCATTTGTTAAGACCAACAGAAGATACGATTATGCAGTAAATACTCCTTTGGTAGTGCGTGGTCCTTACAACTGGAAAAAGGATTGCAGTTCCCATCACCTTAAAGGAACAGCTAAGGATCACGTTGTTCCCTAATTTCTTACACCATTAGATTGAAATGACTGTCCTGTTTATGGATTACTCTGCTACAGATTTTATTCAGTGAAGCTTGAAGATACTAACATTTAATATGTTAACATTTAACCTCAATGCTGTCAGTGTTACCATGGCTAAACATTTACTTAAATACCCAGACAAACTTCAGAACTGAATACGATACCGGAGATTCCCCAGCTGATGCGCAGGATTGAGAGGAGAGATAAAACCTTGCAAAGCATCCATGAAATCTGGCCGTCTCATCTGTTCCACAAGGAACTTCATCTGTACCTGATAAATAATCACATTACACAAATTGAAACCTTTAACTTTAGCTCTATTGCCTGAAGGGGTAGACAATGGCATTGCACAGAAAACATTACAGCTCCTAGGATAACATAAACCTAAACCTACTGAAGTTGGCATTAACGCTTTCCTAGTTCATCACATAGAACAGTTCTGAGTAATTCCTATGACAAAACAGCAACAGTTTTGATACATGGACAGATTATAATACCTTCTGGGTCTCATCTTTTTTCTCCTGCTTGAGAATATCTGTGAGGTTGATCAACTTCTCCATAGCCTCCACCTGCCTGCTCAGATGCTTTAGGTACATTCCACACGCTCGACAGTAGGACTCCAGAAGTAAACCAAACCTCTGACTGACAGTTTTATTGTGCATTTCAGACCTACACAGAGAGGAAGAACAGTTGCAGCTTAGAGACAAGACCACTTAGAGGTGTCAAAAATTAAGCTATACTTGTGACTTCCTCATACAGTCCTAAAATACATCCCCTCAAACAAGTTAACCAGGCAACTTATTCCCTTTTCCTTGATGGTTACCAAGGAAAGCAGAAAACTGAAAGCACAAAGATGCCTTGCTTCTATTTCTGTGTCTGATCACACCAGCTTAGAGCAGCATTTTTAGGTGAGACCAAGCTACAGCCTTGTATGTTGGAGACTGATCTATACTCAGTCTTCTCAACATGAGGAATTTCAAAAGCCCATGTTATATTCAGTAAGGAAGAACACTGAGATATTTGGGCTATCAAGCTCTATAATAAGCCTGTAATAGGCAAGGAAAATAGTTTTTAGTAAGCTTTTTCAAAGCTTTATCTGGTCAAATTGAGTGGCTTTCATAGGTCTCATATATTTGTAAAATTATCTGGAAGAAACTGATGGAGGACTGGGCAGCTAAAAATCTGAGAGGCTTTCAGCAGTCTCAGACTACCTTGTTTTTACAATAATCATCATTAGACAAAAAGAAGGACATGCCTAAGTATCTATTATTAACTAGCTTTTGAATCTGCAAGACATGATTTCTATCACCAAACTATGCATTCAAACTGTCAACCAATATAAACCAATCTTTATTCTGAGTGGTAACATCTTCTTAAGAATGGACCTTTAGTATGCCAAGCCTTTAGAACAACTAATTGTTTATAGGTAATAGGAATCCCACCACCCCTTAACATGACATTAAGCTTACTTTAGATGCCAAAAGAAGAAGTGTCCTATCCTTTGATTGGTCAGTGCTTTCTTGAGTAAAAATCTCACAAGCTGATTATCTAAATACTGTTCGTATTTCAGAACCTAGTTAAGGATAAAAGAAAATTAAAAAAATCATCTGCAGTTATTATTTCTATGAAAAATATACAGATTAAAGACAGTTAAATAAAAAGCAATCTATGTTTTACATTAATTTTTGTAGAATGACTGATCTTGGTATTAATACTTGCATGTGTTAGGATTTGAACAATATATGCTAACTGTGCACTGGCTGCTTCTATTTCAGGAACTTAGCATCTGATGTTTCCTTTACTGTTACCAAATATTTTAGCCTCAACTTGCTCAAAATTTTGAGAAGATGCTTCTGCTCATCCTTTCCCTTATGTTAGGACAGCTGAAATAGCTGCCTGTTCCAGTTGGTAGAACAGTTTTGCATCTCTGCAAAATTCTGGCATTCAGTATCAAGAAGCAAAACCGCAGCACTACAGAAAATAAACTACATTTCATCTTCTCCTAAATAATCCACAAAGCAAACAGACATTTTTGCTGACCTATTTTTCACAACATCTTAACTTTTGTTGTATTTTAAGCCTCTGTGATCACTGAATATACACAAGACAACAAACACACCAAAATATGTTACGTACCTGTACCAGCTGGATTAGATACTGAGACAGTTTGTCATCTGTCAGGGACTTCTCCAGACACCGAACTGCAAAAGCTCGCACCATTGGATCTGGATAATTACAGTCCAAGAGCTCCATTGCTTGCTCTGGCTTGATTGAAGGCCAGTCTTTTACCAAACAGTACATCTGTGGACAAGAAGTCCAGGCATGTTACAAGTTTGCACTGATTAGGAAGAAGGCGTAATACAGAGCCATTGGCAGGTATTGTCAGACACAAACTACATCTGAGTAGAAGCAATTTACTTCCTTGTCCTCTCAATCAATAATTTGATATTAGTTGCCAGTTGACTTTGTTGTTTTATCCACTACAAAAAGAATGAAAACAAACTCTCACATTTAACTGACAAGTTGCAACATAAGAGGGATTCAAGTAATGCCAACCAAGAGAAAAATCTTAAGACTCAGGCTGAGCTAAAGAACAAGAACTCTGGACCAGAGGCATCTGTCAATTATAGTGGCAACTTGAATCATCCAAGTTTTCATTCAATGTATCATGCACACATAACATGTTTTTAACTTCTAGGAGTTTTCTTTAAAATAGCATATTTTAAAGCTTCTTCAAAACTTAAAACTTCTTCAGTGCTTTTTGTTACCTGGGCCACTTCATCTCTAGAATTCCATTTAACAGACAAAAGTAATTTGGGTAGAATTTCTGGAGTATTCACACAATAGTGTCTACAAAAGAGAAAAAAGTTGCATGTAAAAAACATTATTTTTGCTTCAATAACCATCTACTATGTCCCCACAGCCTTGCACCTTTTTCTTCCCTTGTCAGCAGAATCCCATGGATACCCAGACGGCTGTCAGGATCCATGCATGCAGGTAAGACTGAAGCAACAGGGAAAATGTGAACTCACTCAGTAACTGACTTTTCTCCATGGCCTTAACCAAGACATACAGTGCAGAACACTTTGCAAGCCTTGTCTAAAATACCAACTCCACAGTATGGAGGAAAAGGGAGCAAAATCCAGCATAATCATGACAAATTTAGAGGGAATGGGGTGAAGTCTTGTTATGCCAACAAGGGTTTTTATTTGGTTTGGTTTTTAATTTCCAATACCTGTGTCTCCAGAGGAAGTCCTTCTCTTGCTCAGTGATTTCAGACAGAGGGTCTCGTGTACAGATGGCTCGCAACTGCTCCTTGTCACTCTCTGTCAATTCACTGTCTCTGGCTATTCTGTTACTCTGCAGAGAGAAAGTGGTACATTAACCCTCCACACAATTCTTTCTGTTGCCATACAACACACAGGAAAGTGTGTTTAACACAGTATTTTAACATTTCAACTAAATCAGCAGTGTGGAGAAATGGCAGCAGTTGATATCTGATGAACAACACAATGCAGCACAAAATGAAACTGGTCATTTCTACCCCCAGCTTGAGACTGCTGAGAGCTGTTGAAAGGAGTGAAAAAGATTCAGAACTAAAAACAAAGGCTTTTCCATATTTAACCACTATGAACTTCTTCTATGGTGTTTTAAGGATTATCACCAAAAAAAGATAAGATAGTAATTTGAGACCTTATTATACTTCAGGGTTTTTTTTTCAATTGTAAAGTGTAAGTTGACTACTACTTTGCCACTGAAGTGAGTTTATCCTCCTCACCATTTTTTATTTTTGCCTACAGACAAAAAAAAAAAATGAGTTGAGCATATACAAGCTCAGGTAATAGGCTGTGTTATAGCAAAGGAATGTTATTTACCAAGAAGCCAGCTGGCCTTAAACATTCATTGAGAGCCCTGCAGCATTGCTGCATAAACCACAGCAGATATGCCATTTTATGAGGGACTTCCTGCAGAGTATTAAGAGAAATCAAATGCCTACAGCCTGTTGTTCAAGATATGTTGATATGTTATAAATATCACCAGAATTCCCAAACTGGACGCTCACTACCACCTACGCAGTTTTTGGCACAGCGAAACTTTCCACCACAAGACTCTTCTTCACACAGACCATGGAGCTCTCTTGGGGAAACTCTCAAGACTTTGAAGCAGCCTCCAGAAGAAAATGTAAAACAACTAATTTCACAGCCATGGTTTTAAATACACAGCAATTTTAGCTTTGCTGCTTTTCTTTTTTTACTTCTTTTATTCATCCAAGTGCTTTGAAGAAAGCTCCAAACCTCACCAAAAAGCCAACTGTCAACGCCCAAGCTCCCTTCCGTGGAAGAGAAGAGATAAAGGACTACACCCATGTGTGTGCCAGTCAATTCTCTTAAAATTCCCTCTACTTATGGTCAGAACTAGCCCATAAAACAGACAGTAAAGAGTTTAAGCACCTCTGGGTTACACAGGAAAGTCTACACATAAACATGAAACTGCAACAAGGAAAAACAGCGCCACTGACAGAGAACTACAACTTTTGAATAGTTAAACTAAGTATTTTAGACACCTGAATTAGCAATACAAAAATGTTAAAAATGCCCTAACATTTTGTACAGCAAGACAGTTTCTCTTTGAAGTGTTTTGGTTGGTGAGTGAACCATTAGGTCAGTTTACTGGTAATATAAAGAAAGGAGAATATATTACTCATTTTACTAAACACACGACAAAAAATTGATTACGTGATTTTACAATAAATCAGGGTATAAAAGAAAAAAGTTTTATCACTAACATACTGAGTAAAATAAAGTAGTAAATAATACTCTCCTATTTCAGTAGCTGATCTTGGAAGGGGGGGTTTGCCTTACCTGCCCTGCATAGCTGTAGTTGAATCCCAGTTCACGTGATATTGTCCAGTTGGCATGTTCTTCTATCACTGCCATATCTGGAAACTTTACAGGATTGCTAAACCAATCAAACTCCAGCTCTAAACATGGAGTTTCCTGTGTAAAGGGAATTCAAATTACTTTTTCTGTCAAATGATACTTATTAGAATACAGCATATTTTGAAAATATACTCTTGAGGAAGCTGGCATGCAAATACCTTATTTGGATTTGATCCAGTAACACCAATAGGATTCAACAAATCCTCCAGCCCATGAGGTACTGCCCAGAGATTCAAAGCCATTTTCCCAGATACAAGAGTGTCTGTGTAATCGAACATGTTTATATTTCCCCAAGCCAATGGACAGTGCTCCTTAAAGAGATTAAAATATGATTTTTTTCAGGGTCATCTATGAATTACTGCAGAGCGAGTCAGAAGAAACAATATATTCCTCCCAGATCAAGTTGTTACATTCCCAGCTTAGCAGAAAGCAGATTGTGGAAGCTGCACCGTATTTTTCTGTGAATGACTGTCATAGCAATCATTTTACAAAATTATATCAAACGAATTGCAAACACATGCTGACACCTTCCTCACATCAGAAAAAGTCAAGATGATGTAGAAAGTTTTTTTGACACAGAGAGACTTTTTACCAAGGCCTGTAGTGAAAGAACAAGGAGCAACAGTTTTAGACTGAAAGCCAATAGTTTTAGATTACGCAAAAGAAATATTTATTTTTTTTTTTTATGGTAAGGGTGGTCAGACACTGGCACAGGTTGCCCTGAGAAGCTGTGGATGCTCCATCCCTGGAAGTATGCAAGACAAAACCCTCCTATATAGTATCTGTGACACACACTCAAACCCAGAATGTAATGATGCTGGTGGCTAGAATTAGATGTTGCATGTAAACTATTAAAAATTACTACTTGAGATCTTTCATCAAATGCTATAGGAACACAGATTTTCTTTACCTGAAAATTCAACTCTAAAAGTGTAAATATCGTCCTTTAAAGATAAATAAGTTAGTAACATGGGTTTACAAAATTAAGTTTAAAGGCATTTCCACCTCAAAACACTAACACTGGTCTTTGTGACTGGAAATGCAGCATAGACGTGATTTACAGGGCTCAACTCATAAGCTTTTTTCTGTGTAGTTTAATTTCCAAACACAAAAATAGTGGTAGCCTGAATAAGACACAAGAAAAAAAAACCACCCTATTTTAAGCAGATTCAAATCAAACAGTGCACTAAGACTCCTTGCCAGGACAGCATTTACCACATGTTTTTCCCAAACTTGATTTAAGTAGCTTTTGCTCATTAGTGCATTAAATCCATGAAGCATTTTACCTCCTTAGCTCCCTTCCGGCCTTTAACGGAGCAGATCGAGAGGCAGAGCCGAGCAGCACGTGGGAGATCAGGAATGTACATGTCATACAACAGCCATTCATTCCATCTGCAGGATTCAGAAAGCAGAATTAAACCAGGTTAAAGGAGAGCATGCAGGCGAGTGCATTCAATCAAGAGTTACACCAAAAGGCATTTGTTATATTCCAGTCTAAACTCTGCATGTGCATAAAGAGTACATTTTCTTTACTGAAAAGGGATCTCCATATACACATTTGACCACATCCACTTCTTTTGGGAATGGTAACCTCCCCAGTAGCCTTCTAGCACCAACACTGTTTAAAAAATCATGGTAGGTTCCATTCCTGCAATCTAAACATAATGGATTTGCATATATACAATATATGCAATATAAACCTTACTGATATAAGGTTTAGCCTGTGAAATATTTTTCACTTCAGGGAAAAAAAGAAACTGGGAAAAATGTGGCATAGCTTTCAGAACTGAATTAAATTTTAACTGCTGAAAAAGATAACTGCAAGATGGGGATATAACACAGAAACTCAAATCAATGTTCCTAACTCAAAGATATTTTATTTACTATAGTAATAAGAGCACAGATTGGTTCGACAGCAATAGTTTGGTTTTGTTTTCATTAGCTTCTCTAAGTAGAATTTAGTTCTCAGTTGGAAGAACTGTGCTTCTGAAGAGGAACTTCTGAATACAGTTTCTTCTAAGCAGATTGTCATGTTGAATTTTCTCAGTTGAAAGAGGCAGCAGCTTCCAAGGACAGCATTAATTTTTTCAATGTGTCTGTAGCTACTAAAAGCAGTTTTACATAGAAATAACTGTGAAAGCCTTTCTCAAAGAATTAAGAAATTGGCAGATAACCTTCAATTCGCTTTTCTTATGTGTTCATTTCATAAAATAGAAATCTGTGCAATTATATTCCTGTTTTTAAGTCATAACCTTCACCACCTTTCTCAGATTTTCTCTCTGAAACAGTTTAAACTATCAGTTCAAGTACAGCTATATTCAGGGCAACTCAGAAGGAGAGTCTATTTTTCAACAACTATGTATATTATTAGCCCTTTAATTATAAAACCTAATCATATTCATAGAAAACGTACAGATAAAAATAAAAGTTTCAAAATTTATTAATAAAGACATGAAGTCGGAAAATGCAAGTCAAGAATTACTTCTGCACACATACTTTGCATCTAATCCTAGCAGATGCTGGAATTTCACACCTCCTCACTAGTTAAAGTTATGAGAACAGGCAGCTAAAAGATGTCTTCAGTGTTTATATATAAATATATATAAAAATTGGTTTTGCCCTCGTGAGTTCAGGTCATTTTTTTTCCCAGATAATATTGACAGTATGTCAAACACCCTGGAAAATCAGCCCAGCTCTGGCAGTCACTTCCACGTTAGCAGGTGATACCCATCTCTCCACATCCACGTGGTTCCCCTTTGGAACACACTGTGCAACCTCCCCAGAACCAATATGCAGGTTACATGACATCACACTGCCTCGTGCTGAGAGTGAAATCTGAACCTGCAGCTGGAACACCTGCTGCTGATCCACAGGCAAAACCAGAGCTCAGCTTCCTAGAGCTGTGCTGGTTTCACAGTATTAATGAGTGAATTATGAATTATAGTTTATATATATGAATTATATTGGTGTTTCAGAGGCGACAGTAAATGCTCATGTAAAACTGATCTGTTCAGTAAAGAAACTATACTTTTATATGCAAGATAAAATGCTTGTGTTTGAATTAAATGAATGTTATTTTTATATATAGGGTTATGTAATATATTTTTACAAAACTTAAGGCAAAGGATTCCCAGCAAGGAGCTCTACCTGAGTGAAGTAATGGCTAAGTGGAGCCTTTACTCCCTCAGTGCTATCATTTATGATGCCCTGGAAGTCAGGTTCCCTATAGTCACTCAGGTGTTTAACTTACCTGGGGTTAGAACAAGGTACCCTCTGAGTATTCACATTGTCACACAAAGGTTCCCCTCCATGGTAGATACCTGTTCTAACATAGATCTGAAAACAACATCCATATTAGTACTGTCTCTGAAATACTACTATAAACAAATTTTTGCATTGCTATCAACACATACCAGGATTACAACCCATTATCCTTTCATTTTCAGCAAGTGCAAAACAAAAACACAACTGAAAACCAAACAGCCCCAACATTCCCCAACCCAAATTAATTCATGCTCTGTCAGGTGTGAAGCCAAGCATATAAGCAAACCCTTCTAGAAAAAACATATTGGCCTTTTTCCTTACTAATTGCAAAACTAGTCCTTAAAAAATAAAGTAATCAACTTAAAATGAACACTAAAATAAAACAACTCTGGAATTTATTCTCATTTTTTCCTGTGCCAAGGTACAGTGAAAAAAAACACCAAACAAATTCTGAGGAAAGAGAGCCAGGGTTGTAGATGTCTTCAATGGGATTGAACCCTCCACCTGCCTTTTGTGCCTTATCACCCCACACCTCTCTTTTCATAAACCCAGACAGCAGCACATTATCCAGCATCCCCTAACCAAAAGTACTGTCAATTACTGTAACACATCCTTAAACATAATTATTTAGAAGCAATATGGGTTTTCTTTTTCTATCCATTACATACTCTGCTGAAGGGAACTATGCAAACTGAATCCTGCTTCCCCCAGGCAGAATATTTAGCTAATTACCACAACTTGAACTTTTTAAATAGTATACAAGTTTCCATATGCTGAAACATGGACATATTCTTTAGAATCGAGCACTTCAATTTAAATAAAAAGTGGTATCATTTTCTAGTTAAATAACTCTTCTTTTCCAGTGTCAACGCAGAACCGAAAACTCAGGAGGAAAACTGTGAGTTGCTGAAAATCATGTGACGCCTTTACCTTGTCTATGTCTCTAATGTTCACATTTACATAGGTTGCACAGAGGATCCTTATTCTGAGAGCACTGTTTATAGTCCAGAGGGATTTGGTTGTAGCCTCTCCGTTCATGTAGGGTGTAGCTGTGGAGATCCGCCTGGAGTAGGATGGCATTGTGAAGGTGTCCAGGGGCAGCTGGGTGTACAGGCTCTCCTTGGCCATCAGCATCAGGTTGGGCATCCGACCAAGCATTATACAGCTTCTTATGTACTGCAGCAAAACAAACCCAAAAAATGCTGTATGTTTTAAAAGTCTACACTCCTGGTAATTCAAACCTATGCAGGAAATCAGAAAAGTAAAAGTGTATTTAAAGAGCTGGCTGTGTCCCTGTGTGCACAGCCTTTATGGTGTTCGTAGTTACAACATCCAAAAGTTTCAATACATGCTGGATAGGGTTGCACACCTGCACTTCATACAGATTTTGTGATATGAACAATGTCTACAACAAGAGGCTGAACTGGAGAGAGGGAGCAGAGCTGACAAAAACAGTCAGGTTTCTTGTATAGCTCTTTAGCTCTGGTGCAGTGCAGCACAAAGCAGACGGATTTGAGCTGTCCCTGGAAGCAGTTGACACGTTTTTGAACAGCAAGTGCTGTACCAGCCTGCTGTGCAGCCCTAGCACAGGTGACTGGTACTCCTGGTCACAGGCAGGAGCACGAGGCAGATGGCAGACAGTCATTTTTGGTTCAGTTGTGCTTATTACCTTACACTCAGCACTGATCCTGACAGACTGATCCTGACACACTTTAGCTGTAAGGCTGTTGGTGTCCAGTCGGGTCTGAGTGCTGAGAGTATTTAGTCTGGCAACAGCACCACAAAATACAGTGTTAATTCAGGTCCAGCCCTGGAGTTAATGAGCAAGCTCTGCTGCAGCACAGCAAAGGCAAACCAGATGCTTCTGAGGAAGCCACGCTAGATCAAATAGGTCTGGTGTTTGATCTTAAGATGACTCTACAGAATTATTCATGTATGCCTGCACTTGTTCCCCAGCTCCCATAGTACAGAGCTGCTTTTCCCATTACTCAGGATCCCCCACCCCTCCTCTCCTCCATTGCTCTGAAGATCAGACTGTTAACCATTTTAGCTGAAGGAATGGAAGCTGTTTATTACAACAATTCATTCCTCAGAGAGAAAGCAGCAGCAGTCTGTCAGGAAATCTACAGCGTGACATTATTGTCTGTTCCAGAGAGGGCTGCTCAGATGCTCTTCTGTCAAATGTTCTGTCTCACACTCCCAGCACTAACAAAACCCAGGCAGTGAAGGACAGACAGACACAAGCAAGGCTTAGCAATGATTTCTGTGGTGCTGGAGGTTTACATTTTTTATCTTATTAAAGAAGTGATAAAGATGTAAGTAACAGGAAAAGAGAGTTTTCTCTTTTTCCACCCCATTAGGACAAGATTTACAGTAGCAACAGTTGTCTCATAATTTACAATCTGACTGAATTTCCTTTGGTGTTGCATCAGCACTATTCAAATCTAATTCATCTCCTGCCATTAAAAATCTAGGATATTTTTAAAAGTACCTACCACTGATTTATCACTAATGTTAGAGTTAAGAAAGAAGAATAAAAATTACGCTAGTGACACAAATTCTAGTTTAAATTACATTTTCTCCTCATGCTCTTTTGAAGCACATAAAGCAACAAATATGCACACTACACACGAGCATCAGCCAATTTGTTTAAAGGGGCATACACTGTTACTTTCTATGTTTTGGATTAATTTAATGAAAAAGTCAAACCTAAAATTGATCCCTTTTCTCCCCCACAAATTTGGACTATTTTAGAGCAGTTCAAAATACATCCTTCATGTTACTTACCTTGTACTGGCTCAGTGGACATTTTTCTAGCAAGTATTCATCACAGCCACACACTTTTAAGATATATTTGCCCTGGTACTCCAAGACACAAAGTTTCAGTTGTTCAGATGACAGCAACATACTTCGTGTTTTCTTCCTAATTGCTTCAGCAATAACTTGCTCAGGCACGCAGTCATGGTTGATTTTTAAGGTGTATTTCTGCTTATCATTGTTTGGTGAGACTATTACCCATATCACCACTATAATTTGCCCTAGAACAAATGTAAAATCATGTTAGGTCTATCTTTTTAATGCAGTTTCAAAACAAAAAGCACAAACTCCCCCCCCAAAAAACCCAAACCAAACAACTCTCACCTCCTTCCCAACACAGAGAATTGTTTTCAGTATTAAATAAAGATGTAAGCAAGATTCATAGTCCAAACTGACAGAGGGGTTTATAACTTCTGCAAGGAACTAGGTGCACTCAGTTTATTTTTGACTCTAGTGTAAATTCAAACTTTTAGCCCTGAGGTTAAGAATGTTTTTATTAACTGAATACTACTGACTATTTGGCCTTCAAGAAAACAGCAGTAACTCACTCATATTTCAGGACTGCAAGATAACTCACTGATTCAGCATGATTTAATTCCAGATTTCTGAATGTCATAGAAAACTGCAAAACCCATTCAGAAGTCACCTCTATTTACCGAGTTATATTTCAAGATTTAGTTATCGGAATAGCAAAAAGTGTAATTTTAATTATTCTTTTGAACCCACACTCTATCAAGAAAATTATTCTGAAGAACTTAAGGTGTAAGGGATTGCTATAGTGTACTAAATACAGTACATAAAACAGTGATTTACCTCAGTCAACAGCTGTACTTTTTGACTTCAAACACTGAAAATACATTTGTTTCTACTGTAAATATTGATCTTACCTTTGTCTAGTTTATTGTATATGTGTTTGGGTAGTTCAGCTGAAGACTCTACATTTGGAGGGTAGACATACAGCGCTCTGCTGTGCGGTGCATTGGCATCTCGAAGATCCACTGCTTCTTTACAAACATTGAGAATGTTTCTTCTAAAGTCTTGTACTTCTGGATCCTTGACCATGTCAAATTCACAGACAGGCATGCCAATAGCAAAACCTGCAGCATGGAAGCAGCATGAGGAAATAATTGTAACTGACAATTACAGCTAAAGATTCCTTCCGTCAGTCACCAAAAAAGCATGTCTTAAACAAAATGCAGCATAAAATACGTGTCTTAAACATTGGCTTCTACATAATTGTTTTATATCATTCAAGAACCACACAATTCTAAAGTCAAGTGCACTTAGCAGACACAGAAAAGGTTAGAAAACAGGTGCCCATTCCCTGAAGATCCTGGAAGCCTTAAATCACTGCTCCCACAGCTGACATTCCTCCTGGAGGAAAAGGACCAGTACTGAACTTCCTTTGAAGTCAGCACAAAGTTTCCTAAGGGGACCAGAGGAGCTGTGACACCTGATTTTTTCTAAAACCCTGGCAGGATTGTTGGTAGCTATTGGAACCATAATCAACTGTGCTTACAACTGAATGACAGCTATTAATACTTTTGTTTAATGATCTACATTATTTAAGACACACAACAAGCACACCAAGAGATACTGAACTTAAGCTCTTTGGCAAAGATTCATGTAATAACAGTCCACTTCTCTCAAGTCCTCAGTCTCAGAAGTAATTCCATTTGCTTTAATGAGATGACTTGGATATATCATTATTTATGCATGAATGTTCAAATGGAACCTTTCAATTGTCGTGTAGCAGGGTTACCTGACCACTGCTCTCCCCTAGTCCTGAACTGGTTGAGCTTTACAAAACACAAGCAGTTTACTTACGATGCATTCACAACTATTAAATAATTTAACAATTAGGAGCACCCCAGAACAAGTATTTCCAGTTGACAAGTCTCTACTACTGCAGTACTCCCTTGTTAGCAATGAAACGGGAGTGGGGATGTTTGTATTGCCTGAATTTAATACTTAACCAAGATGCTGGAATATATGCCAGTCTCCCTGTGCTTCCTCAGTGGATCGTGGAAAACAATAAGCTACTTCAGAGATGATTCAAAACATCACAATTTGTCTCCTCTCTCCCTCTCCAACCTCAGATGTTTGTTTCCCTCCTCTTTAAACGCTCTTTTGTCCAAAGGGGAAAAGGGAAGACAAAACCCACCTAAGAGATTTCACTTTCTAAGCAAGCCAGAGAAAACTTGTTATTTCAAATGTGGTTTAAGATTCGTAGTTAAATCCAGAATTGAGAATTCTGTAAACTTCAAAACAAATTATGATTGACTTCCCAAAAAATACAACAGGCTTTGCTCTGTAATAATGCGAAATCCTGATAATAAGAGACAAGCAAAAAGATATCCTCCAACCCACAGGCAAGTACAAATATGTTTAACAAAGCCAAGGCTTTAGATGTGAATGAACCAGAACAGCAAAAGGAGTTTAGCTCACAGTTTACAAATATTGGCTCTACTATGATCAGCACCCTTGGACATTTGATGCAACAACTGACAGTTACGAAATGCAAATGTGACAAACACAACCCATCTCAATTCTTTATATTTTGAAGAGGAGTAGTCAGTTAAACAGGTTAGCTATGTTTAAATAAAATATAATCTCACCTATTTCTCTATTAAGAATCTTTTCTTCTCTGTTACCTACTGGTTCAATAACTTTTAGAAAAGGCTGAAACAGTCGCAGGTCACAAAGTCTCCGTGTTTCATCGAAAAATTCTTCTCTTTCCGCTTCTTGCGTAACACTTACAAAAATGTAAGAAGATTCATCCTGAAGGAGCTGATAGAGAGGGTATTTTCTTGCTTCTTTAAAGAGTTCATGTTTAATAGTCAGTAAGGTGGCCTCACGGAGGCATTCTAGTGTCACTATCATTCCATTCGGGAGAAGACACTCCACAAGGATCCTCGGTGGCATCAAGTGGATGCCCCATAGTTCACCAGATGATGGTCGTGGAGGCATTTTTAATTCTTGAGATAACTTTGCACTCCAAGCCCTTCAAGCAGCGACTCGTACGCGCAAACCTGAGGAAGAATCAGAAATCTGAATATTAAAATTTAAAATACAAACATCGCCGGGGATTTCAGATAAAACTGTTCGAACACCGCTTGTAATTACAGATGAATATTCGTGGCTGTATTTTACATTCACAAAAAAAGACTTGATACAACTGATGCCTAAGGAACTTGTATTTTGTCTAAATATCTACTCAAACAAAACAGTTAATGGCAGAATCATATTAGTTTGGAAAAAATGCCAATATACACATGGTCTTAAAAATAGAGGATTTTTTTTTACCTGGACTTTATAAGTTGTGATTATAACACTTCAGTAGCACAAGAGATGAAAATATCTAATATTCAATTTATTACAGAAATTTTTAAACAAACTTCAAACCCAGTTCATCACATTTTTAATTTGTAAAGAGAAACATATTATCATGTGGATGATACAAACCATCTGCTTTGTTAAGTTTAGCCAAAACCAATGCTTCTATACTTCTTTTTTAAACTATTTTCTAATCTCAACCCTCTGAAGTATTCAAACAACACTAACATAATAGTTATAAATATTTATTGAAACCTCTAAGCTTGATTTTAAGAATCCATGTACACACAAGATTGGCTGTAGCTTTTCTGAATTAGTATAAGCTACTTATTGCAACAAAACCTTTTCTTCCGTGAATGAGACAGAAGAACTGAGCTCCATTAACACTTTTTAGTTGGGCTTGTTTTACTTAGCATTGATTCCCTGTTCCAGTTCCCTTTGGCAGCTGCATGAATGTCTTTGCCAGGCCAAAGGAAAGGAGAGGAACACGTGTCTGACCTTCCAGCTGTGCTGCTCATGCCACCCTAGAGCAGCTACAAGAAACACAGTATCTGGACAGAGCAGAGATGTCTCGTAGCCCAGGGGCCAAGGGCAGATGCCAAAAAAAGAGCAGAACCACCAGGCAGGTACACAGTGATACTTCACCAATAAACACTCGTAATCGCTACCTATTTTTAATGTCCTTAACCAGACATTAACATGTCCTTAACCAATAACATTTCTGTATTTGCAAAAGAAATCCATCAAGAACTGCTGAATTTGTTCAGGATGTTTTCACACATAAACTGTTGGCGTCCTGGGACAAGAGTGAAGAACATTTCATGTTGCAAAATACTTGCTCTTCTTTGTTCTGAGGCCTGCTACTTTCACCCAGTATCCCAGATTTTTTGTTTTGAAACAAAGTTCCTTATCTTTGCATTCCTTGCTCTTAATTTTACAGACATCCATTACAGGATCATGAAATGTTAAGGGTTGGAAAGGACCTTAAAGATCATCTTGTTCCAACTCCCTGCCACGTGCAGGGACAACTCCCACTGCACCAAGTTGCTCAAGGCTTTGTCCATCCTGGCCTTGAACACTTCCAGGGACAGGGTATCCAGAACTTCTCTGGGCAACCTGTGCCAGGGCCTCATCACCCTCACAGCAAAGAATATTTTCCTAGTATCCACCTAGACTAAACTTCCCCTCTTTAAAATATATATTTATATAAATATACACTGTGCATATATGAATAAATTTATAAATATATAAAATTTATATATAATTTTTTTACATAAGTTAAAAAATAAAATAATGATCCTCACTTCTGTACTCCTACATCTTGGTACTTATTTTCTGAAAAGTTTTCTTCCAAGTACATCCAGTACCTGCTCTTGCCACACTCCAGTTCTTACAAAGAAGCATTAGAATGAAAATGATGTTTTCCCAAATCCACTGCTTCCTAAGCAACTCTGAGTAGCAATAAGGTTGTCTTTTTTAATCCCTCCTTTGTAGTTGTAGTTTGGGCTTTTAAAAATATCCACACAAGTACTGAAGTGCCACTGCAGATTTAGAAAAATGCTTTTCCACTAATACCTCATGCATATTTAGAAAGGCTTTGCAAATTACTTCTTTTTCAAAGAGAGCTTAAAGAAGCTGTTTTATTTCCCTCATCATTGTAATAGTCTCAGTGAGCGGATGCTGAAATGGAAAGTTCTAAGCACACACAGTGTATTTAAAGAGACAAACTTGGGAAGCTTACCAATTACAAAACATTACCAGTGAACCCAAATAACACCATTTAGAGTAACTTAGAGGATTCCAAATTACCGATAACTATCCTCAGCTTATAGATAAAAAGAAATACACAGGTTAAATGGCGTCTGTTTGATCAGTCAAAGCATGAACAAGACTCCCTCCCCACATCACTGCATCAAGTGCCATCAAATTACATTTCTTAATTACAATCACAGGCAGAAACACATCACTGTTATGGCATAAACCAGCACGAAACCCCCAAACAAACAAAAATATGCAGTTAAATGAACTTTTCCTGTCCACACACATACAATGGTAGTATAGATGGATCACAGTCAAATTAAATATTTACAACACTTGACTGAGTTTATATCAGAAGTCTTTGAGTTTCACAATCCTGCTGAGACTCCTCTGAACTGTAAGAGCCCATTTTCACTGCAAGAATGGTGGCTCGTTCCACTGTAATTTTTCCTTCCTCCTCAACAACAATTGCCAACAAAGAACCAGAGGCAGCAGTGGGGGACACACACATACATATTAAATCCTTCTAGCCAAGTGTCTCTTCAAAATAAATGTCAGCCTTGGCTTCTTAAATAATTCAAACGGTAAATGACAACTCAACACCATTTCTTCAAAAACTTGCGAACGGTCCAAAAATGACATCCCAAAACCTACACTTTTTAGAGCAACTGCACCAAGACAGCAGCTTTTGTTTTAAACTGGGATATAGACATGTGCTGGAATGGTGCACACAGTCATTCTGTGTGCACATTCATCTCACTCGCACATGTAATCACGCCTCCAGGGTTTGGATTTGGAAAGCAAAAATGTAAACAGAAACAGTTTTGAAGTATAGCTGGCAGCTTGTGTTTCTGTGTACACTTTCAAATCTGGAAGGCTGCCTGGAATAAATAGAATCAATTATGTTCTTCGACAGTGAAAGGACTATAATTTTAAGGGAATTCTAGAGAGATGTTATTTAAGTCAAAACTAAGGGTAGAGGCAAACACTTCAAATGAACGCTACACCACACCTGCAATCCCTGACCTTCCAAAAGCACTTTAAACATTTTTCCCCTGCCAAAAGCTTTGGGACACCTGGGCTTGTGCAAAACACTTGACATGTCCTGCACCCTTGTCTCTAAACTGGAGACATGGATATGACAGACGGACTGCTCAGTGGATAAGGAATAGGCTGGATGGTCGCACTCAAGAGCTGGGGACAACGGTTCAATGTCCAAGAGGAGCCCGGGGACAAGTGGTATCCTCAGGGAGATGGACAGGCTGGAAAGGTGAGACTGTGCAAACCTTGGGAACTTCAACAAGGCCACATGCAAGTTGCTGCACTCGGGTCAGGGCATTTCCAAGCACAAACACAGGCTGGGAGGAGAATAGATGGAGAGCAACCCACTGCCCTAGCTGAGCATCCAACCTAGAAGTGATCAAGTTTTGAGATTCCATTCAAAAAGAGTAAACATACATGTGGTGGAAGAAAGTGGGAAGATAAACAACATAACTTACACAACACAGATTCCTACTTGCATCCAGATACACTTACCATATTAATGCTGATTTATATAATCTATTTTCTCACAGGATAGAAATTAGCTATCATCTGATATAGCTGATATAATCCCTTATTAAGAATAAGAGATTCCAAGTTCAGAAAATTTGGTTTTGGTAAACTGTGACAGTTTTATCACCTCACAGGTAAAGAGACACTGTGCATGTCAATGAGACAATCTATGGAAAAAAAATTATTGTTCCCTTCAGGAGATGTATAGCTAAGGCTCTCTCTCATCAGAACAAGGACCTACAGGTTCTAGAAGGAAATTTTTTCATCTCTGATGCATCAACTAGCAAGAAATCTAGCAAGCATAGAAGGAAGCAAGAAATATACTGTGCTGTAACATTGTATGGAATGTATAAAGTATGGGATGCTTATGCAAATAGATGCACCCATTCCAGTGACTGAGAACTGAGTAATTTTGCATTGCTATAAACATCAGCTAGTGTTTCAAAACCCATTCAAAAGGACAGACTAAACACTCAGTGCAATTTTATCAGTCCATATTTGAAAGTGAATGAGTCATTCAGTAAACTGCTACACTTTAATTGAGGCCCATTAGTTTTTCCAGTCACAAGACAAATCCCATTACACTGTTTTTACAGACAGGATGTAGCAATGTTTTATAATAATTTGTGGTATCTTTGGTATCAGAGAGCTGCTCGTAAGAATTTGTGTCTAATTTGATTTCTTTTCCAGGCAGAAGTTTCCCCTAGAATCCCGGCTTTGCCTTAAGAAAAAGGCTTCTATTCATTAAATAACCTTAATTCTCTATCAAATTGACAGAATCATGAACTTCCAGGTATGAATCCCAAATAAGCCTTTATAAAATACTGTGGAATCTCCAAAACAGAAGCTGTGGGTTTGTGTAGATAAAAGAGTTCCCGGAACAAGAACAACACTTTTCAGAATGCAAGAGACATTTCAAACTTCCTAAATGCCAGAATGTTTTATCCTCATCTTCAGAAACATCAGGAACTCCAAAACATGAAGAAAACTGGGCAGAGTTGCCTGTCTAATTTTGCTGCTGTCCAAACCTGCTGTCTGGTGACAGTAAGACTGCCTCACACTAGATATTTTCAGTACTGTCCTTTTGTTCTTCCTCCTTGCCAAGCTGGCACTTTTCCAAAATCCGGGAAGACTGGTACAAAGATGTCTGAAACTGTCCTCCATGAAAACATTATTACACACATTTAAATGGTAGAAATAGTGCTTTGTTTAGAATAGAAAACTGAAGATGTTGCATTGCAGTCGCGTCTCATTTTTTATGTTCTACTTTCATCCTTATTTCCCAGAAAACACGCAGATACACGGAATTGCTTATCTGATCACAAACAGCAGCTCAAGGGAAGCAAAACAGAAGGGTTTAACACTGTCAAAAACACTTTAGCAATTAGTTTCCCTCTGAAATGGGCAAATAGTTCCAAACACCACCAATTTTATTTGTAGCTACCTACTTCTTCCCACGTTCAAAAACAGGGTCAAGTACATTTGCCTGGCTCTAGAAGGAGTTAAAATTATTGGTAGCATCTGTAGAATTATAGTACAGCAGAAATACAAGATCATTCTTTCCTGTGAATGTAAAACCTCACTGAAAATTAGTGAAAAGCAGTTTCAGTCGAGTTAGATACAAGAGCATGGGGCAACTACATTTCAGAGCTGTTTTCTTTAAAGTTATCTTATGTCCAGGGCTTTTTTTAAATTTCAGAATACAATATTCTTGTAGTGACTTTCAGATACCACAAATAAAATTAATGGCGAGGTCATCCTGAAAAAAAAAGAACTCACTATAAAGTATTGCCCAAGAGGTAATACGTGTTTTATGTTACTGAATAAAACAAAGGATCAAATGGCTGTAATAAAACCGAGATGAAGAGTTTAAAAAGATTTACTATTGCTGGAATATTTCTTTTTACTCTCCAAGAAAAATCAAAAGAGTTTTGCAAATTCTTATTTTCAAATCCCCTTGCTCACCACCCTCCCCCACCCATGCAGGCACAGTGTTTATAGCTTCACTCAGTGTCTGGGAGCCACGAAAACAGGATCACGAGAAAGAAACATTCACAAGTTGCTGGTGACCTCTACAATTCCCACTACGACTGTGCTTTTCCCCTAGGGATCCCATGACATACCAAAGGCAGAATGTCTGTCCTAGAACATTTTCTTCCAGTTAAAGGCAGAATTAAACAAAGGAAACCCTGGAATTAAATGTCCCTTTTTAGTCCGAAATCATTCAGTAATTCCATTTCTAGATCCACCTCAAAGGGCAGGACTTCGTTATTTATAGAGGACTAATAGTCATAAAGCACAACAAAGAATTAGAAAAGCAAGGTATCTTCTCTTTACACTTCACATATCTGCTTACTCATTACTTCAGCAATTAGCTTGGCTTGCTGTGTAGCAGGATGAGAATTTCTCTCTCACCTAGTTCTGGTCTGGTTGGAGCTGTTCCTCCACAGCAAGGTGTGAGCTCTGGAGCTCAGTGAGCATCACACAAACTCTTTCAAGCTCTTTAAATAAAAAGCCTTAAAGTTTGGCAACAAGATCAGAGCAACATGCCACTTTGTACCCACAGAAATAAGGTTTTTCTTTGATTACATATTTTTCTTTAATACTCCATTTCATATGACTGACAAACATTGTTTTATGTGAACATGAATAGAAAGAACATGAAGCAAAAGCACACCACAAACCATACTCTGCTCCTTGCTACAAATATTAAAGATTTCAATGTCAGCTCTTTTGCATGCAGTTCTGCTTTTGGAAATTAGTGCAAAACGATGTAAACAAAAGATTACTCTAGAATGTAATTCATTAAGCTAGATTTGAGAAGTAACAAATGCCGAATACATAACTAAAAATATAAAAAGTCCACCTTAAATAATGCTGTTTAGTTTTCTTTCCATGTTTCTTCCCATCCTCCCACCTTCCTGGGATATTTGGACCGCAGACAGTAAACAGGATCTTTAAAAACAGGAAGTGCTGGCACACAGACAAGGAACCAGAGCAGAGTTAATCCAGGTGTTCTGCACTCCGGCCGAGTCCGACTCTCCACGCGACGGGAGCAGCTGTGGAGCAGACCTGGGATAGGGCCTTCCCTAGTGCTGACCTCCCCGGGGCATGTCACCTCGGCTTATAGAAGTAACTCCCTCTGTTGCAGCAAGATAAACCTCCAGTTGCATTGAGGAAGAGGAAAGATTTCCTCTCCCACTGTCCATACCCAGAAGGGCAGGGAAAGAACGGCAATAAAACTCCGGAGGTGCTGCAGACCTCACACAGACCCCATCTGCCTCTCCAACACAAGCAACAGCATCAAGACGGTTCAATCCACAACGTTCACCTGACCAGCTCCTCTGGATGGAAGGCACAAAGAGCACTGTGTGTTCCTCAGAAAATGTGACTGAGATTAGGCCCACTCCGGTTTACTAATTTACAATTATCTCTACACAAAATATTCACCCTGTGAGCCCTTTTTTTACTGAGACGCAGCTGAGAAAGACATCAGACTCAGGCTGACTTACAGTATCTTGTGTACTTCCCATGTAACATTTCTTGGGATGGAATCTGGCAGCAACTTTAAACTGAGATAATGGTTTTTTGCTATACTAAGTTACTCCAGACCCTGACAGCAACTAATGTGTAAAAACAAAAAACTTCTGCATGGACTTACCGAATTCAGCTAGCAGAAACAATTATCTTTTATTTACTGGCAAACAGAGGATGGGATGCAACTTCATTTTTGTTAGGACATTTGCAAGGAACAATTGCCTCGGCAAAAGCTGTAGAAGTAGGTTGTTTTATTTTTCTCTTTGTTTGAGCTCCTAAACTGAAAAACAGACACAATACTTTCTCCATTGAGCTATTTCTTAGCTCCCTTTTCAAAACCATTTGTTGAGAGAAGGAAGTTTGTGGCAGAGTTAACACAAAGACACAGCCACTGTAATGAAAAAAAAATTCAATTCTGCAGCTAAACACACTAGTGCTATAAACAGCTGAAATTCAGACAGTTCTTAGCAAACTATCCAATACAAAGACACGTGGAATAGGATAGCAGGCAAACAAATCCAGTTCCTCGCAAACCCTGCCCTGTAGAAGCTACACGAGCTGTAACCGCAACTGGAAAACCCCACGGCTTTTCAAGAGTCTGTTGGAAACACTGCAGTCCTACTCCATAGTAAACTTGCTTGTGATACAGAGTCAATGGTGATTAACCAAATATTTATTTAGCAGTAGATGATAACCCTGCTGAAAAGTAAGCAGCAACAGTTTTCCACAGAATATTATCAACAGACCTTTATTTACTCCAGCAGCAGACTGAGACTGTCCTGCCTACCCCCCCCCACCAAGTGGGGAGACTATTCAGCTGCAAAGCATTTGGCACCACTATCTGCTCCCATCAGGCTTCATCTCCCTAAAAGTCAGTGATCCCACAGGCGTATTGCATCTAAGCACAAAGGAAAACTGGGCCTTCTATGTGACACAACACTGAAGACTAAATTCCTAATTTTGTAAGAGTATCTGACTTCATCGTATAAGTTACAAAGAAACCAAAGTTTCTCTGAAACCTGAAGAAGTGTTAATCCTGTTCTAGCTGTTGACCCTGGTAGAACAGCCCTTTTCTCCACATTTACAGGTTGGACGCCACCATCATGATGCTCGAGACACTAATGCATTTACATTTGTGTTCAACAAGTGCAAACAAACATGATTCATTGTCATTAGGTCCTGCATGCTTCAGCCTGAAGTACAAAACCAACTCTGGTGAACTGTGACAAATGGTTCTTCAGCATCTTCATCCAAATGTTTATCATTCCTGTACATGTCTGTTGGAAGCACCTGATAGGATTCGATGTTAAAGTCCTCTGCCCAAATTAAGATGCAAATGAGACCAAATGTGGGTTCAACAATACTGACTTTGTTATATTAAGTGTATGGGAGAAAGAGAGAGAGTGGGAGAAAGAGAGAGGGAGAAGACAAGAAAGTACATGCAGAAGAAAGTCACCGCTGAGGATCCAGTGGCATCCCATTGGTCCTTCAGTGCTCGTGCTGGTGGGATCCCACCTGGCTCACTCCGAGTCACTATTATACCATCCCTCCTTAGTGGGAGTTGATTCCAGGTCCTCCTTAGTGTGAGAGTGGTTTTCAGTTCCTTGTTGGTGTGAGAGGCGAGAGCAGCGCCATCTCACCACCGCACATCCTCAGGTCTTAACTGGGTGGTTGTTGGGGGTCTGCTCTGGGGGTCCCATGAGGCAAATACCCCAAAATCAAGTGTCCTATCTGTGCCCCCACTTCTTGCACTCGTTCTGTAACACACCACAGTGAAGCAGTGCTGTGAAAAGCGTCAGGTTTGGTCCTACCTCTGCAAGGCCAGAACTGAAACTGTTCCTTTTTGTGCCTTGTGCAAAGGCATCCAGGGTGTTTCTGCAACAAGTTTCACCACTGAGCTCCATATTTAAGGCATATACTGCAGATGTTATTAACCCTTTCCTTACAGCATTTCCTTGCAAACCACACAAAAGCATGATGTGTGTGTAGGGCTACTGAGTCAGTAAGCTGCTTGCAGTGCATCTCTTTTTCCTCCACTTCAAGCTATAACCCAAATTGTTTCTGTAACAAGGTCAGGGTACCAGCAATTTGTATTTAATATATCTAAAACACATGGCTAATGTTTGCATAAATAGATAATGTAAGCAGTTAACATGAACTTTCCAAAGAAGTGACATAAGCTCATAGGTATTTAGGCAGAGACTATCAGCCACATCTCCACAATGGTTTAAAGATTTCCCAGCTTCCCAGTTTGGAAAGTCATTTTCATATCCACATTAAACACTTTGAGACTAAGGCACATGCAACCTCCTACTACAGTCAGAGTTCTGTAAGAGGGATACATTTCACAGAAAGACTTTTTAAAAAGCCAAAAAGATACTGGCAATAGTCAGTCACCGCTATTAAGAGAACTTTACACATCTGCACAAACAAGGAAGTATTTTTTTAATACATGGATAGTTCATTGGAAACATTTTGTTACTGTTTTTGTAGGTGTGTATATTCAAAAAAACTGAAAGCAGTTTTCAGACTGGTGAAGTTTAACCCTGGAACAGAAGAGATCACAAAAGCTTAAGTGTTTTGGATTTAATTTTCACCCATTAAAAAAACACCAATTAGGGAGAGGTAACTATCTTGCAAATCATCTTTTTTGTTGTTTAAGTAAATAACCTGCTCACATATCAGGACAACAAGAGATTGGAATCTATAATTATGGTTACACTTCTCTTATCACTCTAAAGTTGTTTGCGATACTCTCCTATCTGCTGATATAACAATGAAAAGCTTGGAAAAGAGGTGGTGAAAGAAGAGTTGAAGAGCTGGATTGCAAAACAATTTGACCATGTATTTAAGAAGAGTTTCTATAGCCAGGAATAGGTTTTGATATCCTACTTTTTGTGTATCAACTCCCCTGTTTTACTGCTCGTTATCTTCCATTTCCAGTTTTCATCTTTATCTCTCAGTGGTAGTTATGCCATTGCTCCCCAACACGCCAAAACATTCCAGCTTGGAGGTATCTAAGATCAAGGGAGTGCTGCTGAGCAGTGATAACAACATCAGTGCTTTATCCTCCATTTCACAGCAAGTTGGAGAGGAAGGCAAGTTATTAGTATTTTACTAACCACAACCGTGGTAAGAAGACAAACATGAGAAAAAGCATTAAACTTTAGTTTCTCAAATAAAATGTTCAAGCTGATTGAAGCCCGTTCTTTTAGCTAGCAAACACTTATCCAAAAATTCACGCAACTGGTTAAGTTTATCATCTGCAATGACATCATTATAATCTCACATATTACTATTTTACGCCAAAGTATAGATGTGATTTATTACAAATCAATCTTTGAAACAAACTTTCTAGACTAAGAGTAGCACTCACAGGCACATCCTTAATTACACTCCACAATCAACACTAAGATGTCTGGTTGTCACTTAAAAATTAGCTCTTTTACCTAGACACTAGTGACTTTTTTGAGACAAGTGCTCTTTTACAGCTTAGCATCAAAACTGAAGATTTCAGAGGTGACAGTATGAAACTGAAAGAAGATAAAATACAATATAGTAATCACTTTCCTCCCACCAGTGGAGACTGCCTTGATTAACTGGTAAGTGGAACTGGTTGTTCAACATCCACAAAGGCAGAAGAGCAATTTTCAGTTTTATTAGTATCACTTCCACTTTTATAATCCAGTTGAAAGATTTCCTGATTATTCTGTTGAGAGCTGGGAATGTAAATACAAAAATGAAGAATAAGTGGTATGTTTTATAATCTAAGCAGTTTAATGATACCACAAGCATATTTTAGGGTATTTGGAATGATAATTTTGACTTCCCTTTTCCCAGAGGAAGTTAGCCCTGTACAGAAACAACTTCTTATGTCAGCACTATTAACTTCTTTCAAACTATGCCTGTAGTCAAGAGGCAAGTTAGTTTTTCCAGCTTTAATAAAAAATAACTTAATGGCACAAGCAGCAAAGTTGGATCCCATCACAGAAAACATATTTATTGAGTTTGAGAAAGAAACAAATCATCTCCACTGTGCTTGCTTGGTAATCAAGTCTTTACCTTCTACTCATTCTCCCTTTTTTGTGCTTGTATTTTCAAGCACTCTGTGTTTAGTTTACCAACATCTTTGCAGAGATCAGTCTCCTCACTTTTCCAGCAAGTCAGATGTCAAAGTCCCAAGGTACAGGAATTTTTGTTCTATTAGATTCAGATCACAGAATAGGCAGGTATTTCTACTTATTGATTAGTCCCAGACGAAATGCTGAATCTTGATCATTTACTTTCCAGTAATTTTCAAAGTTTCTTGCATTTTGAAGAAATTGAAGAATTTGTTTCTTTGTTGACTGCTAATGGCTAAAAGAAGGAGTAAGGTTGCAACAAGGAGTAATTTTTTTATTCCTCAACTTAGTATCCTCTGCACTCTTCTAATACAACAAATGTAATCTCAGCAGAAAATCCATGTTT